AAACCCACCAGCCACTCCTCGGAAGGAAGGTTGGGCAATCTACTTCCATAGTGATACTGCCTCGGAAACCCAAGGAGGGGTCGCTATGAGTCCGGGCTGACTCGATGGCAAATAACAACAAACACAACAACCGAAAGGTTGGAGGTTTGGGTCTACCCAGAGCTACTTTGGAAGAAAGACCTGGCTATCTACTCCTGAAATATCCGCCATCGAAAACGTAATGGAGCACAGTTCTACTCTGACATGCATGGGGTCACCCTCCGTGAGAATTGACTGGGAAGCAACTGGTTTTAGTCCTTTATAGAAAATGTTTGCTGACCCCTGATGGCTTCTGAAGCTAAGATGGTCAAAGTTTTCCATGGAATAGCTGCTTTCCTGAACATGAAGTAAGGGATTAGGGTGGCCCTACTTGCTTCTGTTTGGCACACTGAGAACTGCATAATCACCAAGACATCTGTGACATTTTGTTATAATATAACAGGTGAGGACAGCTCAGCACTTATGGCACTCACAGAAATGTTTTGCTAAATGTTCCCATAAGATATCACGTGGCAGAATTTTTCTTTTGTTGGTGTCCATTGCCCATAATGGAGCAGCTTAAGGATGTAGGAACCCATGAGTCAGCAGGATATGCCATCTGCAGTTTCTTCTCATTTGAGGAAGATCATTTTAGAGAAGCAGTGCTGACCTTTTTTCAGATGCATCTTGCTTCTGTAATACATGAAGATTTGGGTCAATTGTGGTGAGTTAAAGAAATGATCCCATAATGCTTTTGGCCTTGCTCCTTCTCATTTCCCCCCATCTCCTCTAGGTTTTTCCCATGACCCTCTTCTTTTTCTAGGACTCTCTGGGTGGCACAATGGGTTATGCGCTCAACTACTGTCTGAAAATTTGGCCCAGAGGTGCCTCAAAAGAAGGGTCGGGTAATTTGTTTCCAAAAGGTCATAGCCATGAAGATCCTGTGGAGCACAGTTCTACTCTGACCCATATGGGGTCACCATGAATGAGAATCATGTCAATGGAAATGGGTTTAGTTTTTTCTTCTCTTTCTACCTTCTTTGCCTCCTTAGTCTCTTTCACTCCAGTTGTTCTCCCATCCCTTCTCTGAGGATACTTTACAAATTACTCCAATAGCCTTTTGTAGAACTGATGGTCATTAAAACAATATCTGCTTGATGTAACTACATCTGAACAACTACCACCAGAAAGTCCTTTCCTCTGTTATCTTAATTTATTCTACAGTTGTGCTAGGTTTTTCCTTCGCTCTCTCTTTTTTTCTTCCTCAGTATTTAATAGCTTCTCTTTACAATTTCTTTTGTTTTCCTAGCTAATCTTTGAACTTCCTTTTCTCCATTTTTAATAACTTGCTATATTGGCAGGTGCTGTTCAAGTCAACGGAAGAACCATTTCTATGAATTCCTTCTTACCAGAGGCATTTGTGCTCCCTATCGATGTAGAAAAGGTGAACATTATCTTCATATTTTGTTTAGCCACAGAGATTCTTAGTCCCTTAGATAGTATTGTTCTGATTTAAACCTAGAAAGTTCCCCTTAACGAGACATGGCAACCAGGTTTAATTTCATTTCAGGGTTTGATTAATAGTGGCTGCCAGGAACGTTAAGCTGGGAAAGATTTTAAGGAGATGTCTTTGCTCACCTGAAAAGTTTTCTATGATTGATGGGTGATGTCTGCTATGGGCCACTACCTGTGTTTTGTATCACAGGGAATTCATAATGGATTGTTGTTTACAGTGAACTAAATTTTACATGTCTGGGAGATGTGAATGATAAGACATAAATGATAACTCAGTTAAATGAAAAATATACATATATATATTCTTGATTTTTCAAGCTTATATATACTCAGTGAAAAAAGTTGGCTATGTTTGCATTTTAACTGACCTGTTTTTTTTTTTTTTTTTTCCTGCAGGAAAATGCACACTTTTATGTTGCAGATATGATTATATCAGCAATGGAGAAAATGAAGTATAATCTCCTGAGCCAACAGCAGACAGAGAACTGGAGTGTAAACGAAGACAGTGTGTCACTTGGGAATGATCAGGTTGACCTGGAAGTGACCTTTTATGACAACATAAAGCAAGAATCTGGGTCTTCCATTGCTTCAGACAGTGGTTGTGAAGGCAAGTTGCACAAATATGGGAAGGTTTTATGCCTCATCTGTTATATTTACTTGTACTGGGTGTGACTGATGGTTCAAACCCACTAGCCACTCTTCAGAAGGAAGGTTGGGCAATCTGCCTTGGAAACCCAAGGAGGGGTCACTATGAGTTGGATCTGACTCCACGGCAGTGAAGTTTGGTATTGTGACCTCTGTACACATCCCGTCTCCCTTGTCAGATTGTGAAGTAAATCTTTAAATCATTTGTCTGAAACTTCTTGAGTGATCTGTGGAATCCCCACCATTTCTGCCATTTTGAGCTGGGATTGGTGTTCATGCTCCATTCACTGGCCATATCCTATGGTGGTTTTCTTTGATCTTTTGTGATCTTAAACTTTATCCTTTTTTTTTTTTTTGGCAGTGACTGTTTCCTTTCTTCCTTTGTATTTTAAGACAAAGTGTTTTCCTAGCTCTTCTTACATATTGTCTAGTTTTTTTTTTTTTTTCTTTCAAGTATTCCTCTTTCATTCATTTGAGTGCTAGGTGGTGAGAATACAGTGGTAAACCTGAGGTGCTCCTTCCCTCAAGGAGCTGAGAAGCTGGAGCAGATGGCCAAGTAAGCAGTGTGGTACCCAGGGAGCAAACAGTTAACATGCTCACTCAGCTGCTAACCTAAAGGTTAGTGGTTTGGGTCCACCCAGAGGTGCCTCAGAAGAAAGACTTAGTGATCTATTTCTGAAAAGTCAGCCACTGAAAACCCCATCAAACACAATTCTACTCTGATACACATGGAGTTGCTGTGAGTTAAAGTCAACTCAACAGCACGTGGTGCTGGTACCTAGAGCAGTGGATCACAGAGTGGGAACAACTTGCCTCATTCTGGAGATACAGAGAGTACTTCCCAGAGGAAGGGATGCCTAAGCTGAGAATTGCTGTTAGGGGTTGTGGTCATCTTACTTTTCCCTAGCTATGAGTCTATTTCTTTCCTTTTCTATATTCACTTCCTGGGAGAATTTATCCACTACAACACCTTCAATGATTCCTTCTCAATATCTTCCAAATCTGTTTTCTGTCATATCCCTCTCTTCTAAGCACTTTCTCCATGTGGCTGGGACCTATTAAACATATTCACCTGGTTCACCCTCTAGACTTAACATGCCTATGCCAAAGTCATTTCTGTCACTCCTTCACAATCCCCTCTCTGCAAAAATGATTAAAGATTAAAAACTAAAACTTGATTTTCCTCTTGACTTCTTAGTTTCCTAGTGCTGCTATAACAGAAATACCACAAGTGGATGGTTTTAACAAACGAACTTATTCTCTCACAGTTTAGGAGGCTAGCAGTCTGAATTCAGGGTGCCAACTACAAGGAAGGCTTGTCTTCTGGCAGCTCTGGGGGAAAGTCTTTGTCATCAGTCTTCTCCTGGGTCTAGAATTTTCTCCATGCAGGGATGACAGGTCGAAAGGGCCTACTCTGCTCTTGGCTCTTCTTTCTTGGTGGTAGGAGGTCCCTCTGTCTCTGCTCCCTTTTCTCTCTTGTAAGGTATGTGGTGATGCAGACCACACCCCAGGGAAACTCTCCTTACATCAGATCACAGCTGTGACCTGAGTAAGGGTGCTGCATCCCATCTTAACCTCTTACATCAGATCACATCATGGGGGGTGATCACATCATTTCACAACTGCCAAAATCCATCATTACATAACTGCTAATGAGAATCATGGCCAAGTCAAGTTGACACTTATTTTCAGGAGATAATATTCCATTACAAGTAGCATTTACCTAGCATCTTATTCAGGAATCTGATTGGTAGCAATGGAGGAACTCACTCTATGTGGTACCTAGTACAATGCCTGGCACATATTTATCGTGCAATAAATATTTCTTGAATGTGTTAACTAGCTCAAATTAAAAGGGATTCCCCAAAGGAGATAGCAAATTCTCATTGAACCCAGTGGAGGTTATTCTGCTGGACCACATAAGAACTGACCAATATAGAGACAGCTCCTGTATCTGTCTTTTCTGGTACTTGTGGCCTTGCATTTTTTTCTCTCTTCATGCAATTGCTCCATTCTCCTTTTTTTTTCAGGCTGTTTTCCTCTGCCTATCCCTGGTCTGTGTCTTCAGCTCTGTGACCCCTGACTTCTCAACCAGGTCCTCCCTGTTCAGCTCAGTCTTGCAGAATTTCAAATCCAGATTCCAGAGGAGAGCACTTGGGGCGGGCTTGACTTGGTTGGGTTCACAGCTGGTCAGTGTTCTGTGGACAGGGGATTTAGGACTGTGATATGAAGATCACCCCTTTAAGCCTATGAGTGGGGAAAAAAGGATGTGGGGTGGGTGAAGGAAATAAACAAATTATCTTTTAGTATGCTAGATTTTATCTATGTCTCTTTCAAACTCTTTGTGCTTCAATCCTATCTCCAGTGTTTCTAGTTAGTGGACAAGTCAATCCTGACATCTCAGTCATAATTATGTCCTTTCATCTGTTCTCTCTTTTTGCCTGTTACCTGGACCACTACATTAATCTTTCGGCCAGTCTTTATAGAAAAACTGCATTTAGGTTATATTTTCATTTTAAAAAATTTTGTATATATATATTAAAAAAAAAAACTTATTGCCATCAAGTCGATTCTGACTCATAGTGACCCCCTTTCAGTTTCCAAGGTGGCAAATCTTTACAGAAGTAGATTGCTCAGTCTTTGTTCCACACAGTGGCTGGTGGGTTTGAACTGTCAACCTTCTGATTAGGCACTATACCACCAGAGCTCCATGCATATGTATGTGTGTATATATATATATATATATATATATATAATACACATATATACACGTATATATGCACATTATATACACACACATATATATGCACATATATATATATATATACACATATACATGCACATATACGTGCATATATGTTATTGTTACATGCCATTGAGTTGGCACCAACTCATAGCAACCCTGTGTACAACAAAACAAAACACTGCCTGGTCCCGTGCCTCCTCACAATCCTTGCTATACTTGAGCCCATCATTGCAGCCACTGTGTCAGTCTGTCTTGTTGAGGGTCTTCCCCTTTATTGCTGACCCTCTACTATATGTGTGTGTGTGTACTAGTACATAATGAAATAACTTATATTCCAAACTATAAACAATGTTATAGTTAAACTTAATTATGTTTGTGTGTGTATATACACACACACACATGTTTATATATACACACACATATATGTATGTATATATAATATATATATATATATAAACATTTATCATTTCAACATATTTTATGTGTATAATTCAGTGACATTAATTTTGCTCATCATGTTGGGCAACCATCACCACTATCTATTTCTAAGTTTTTTTTATCACCCTTAACAGAAACTCAGGGCCCCTTAAGCAATACTCCCCATTTCTTCCTTCCACCTATGCCTGGTAACCACTGATAAACTTTGGTCTATGTACGTTTGCCATTCCTAGATTTTTCATATGATTGAGATCATTTAGTGCTTGTTCTTTTGTGTCCTTTCCACTTAACATAATGTTCTCAAGTTTCATCCATGCTGTGGTATGTATCAGGACTTCACTTTTCTATATGGCAGAGTAATATCCCACTGTTTGTGTAGACCACATTTTGTTTTGTTCACTCGTCTGTTGGTGGAAACTTGGATTGTTTCTACCTTTTGGCTGTTGTGACTAGTGCTGTGAACATTGGTGTACAAGTGTCTGTTTAAGTTCCTGCTTTCAAGTCTTTTGGGTAGGAGTGGAATTGCTCAGTTTAGTATATATTTGTTTTGTTTAATTTTCTCTCTTTATTTCATTATCTCTCTTCTAGTTGAACCTACACACATGTGTCTTCTTAGAGCACAACTTACAGTACTCTGATATGGAGTGTTGAGTTTGTTCCATTTTTCATCCTGGATATTTTAGCCTGTGTGATCCAGCTTCTCCCTGCCTTTCCTATAGGCATCTCCTGCCATTTCCTATGTTGTAAATGTGGGCTTCTCTTACACTAGAGTGTTTGTTTGCTGATAAACATTCTCAATAGCTCCTGCCTCCGTCCCTTTGCTTTTCCTAGGTTCCCCTAGAATGCTGTTTTCCCCCAATAACCGCACACCAGGTCCTTCTCATCCTACCAGCAGCACTGTGACATGCACCCTAGTTTGTATTATGGGGCAGGGATGCCATTCATATAGAATGAAACATGCTCCAGAATGCTCCATTGTCTTCCCTGCAAGTTGTTCCTCCTAGAGTTATGTAATGTGGAGCCCAGCCTCTGAACCTTCTAGTTCATGGCACACAACTGGGTTTTCTTGTAGTTAAATGTGCCAGTTCCTCAGCTCCCTCTTGAGATTTAAATTCTTTGATGAATGAGAAACTGTCTTATTTTTATTTATACTTAGCATAGTGGCTTGTCTGAAACAAAGTCTTCTATAAATATTTGCTGAATGTTTGAGTGGAAAGTGATGTAACTGAAACTTTTAAAAAGAACAAATATGTAAATACATTAAATGAAATTAAAAAAAAATATTTCTGTGACATAAATAAACATATATAGGCACTACGTCACCAGAACTCCCTCATATATATATTTATTAAGGGAAATTTTGTGATGATAGTGCTACCTCATGGAGGTAGATCAGAGTTTTTTAAGCTACAGGTTGGTACTGAGAGTTTTTTTTTTTTTTTAAATGAAATAAAATAGGAAATATCAGAGTGCACAGGCTTAGGACAAGCATTGTTCCCTTGCAGTGTAGTAAATTACATAGTATGGCTTTTCTAGCCATGGTCTTTATAACACCCCCTTTGCCTGAGTAGCTGATTGTTAATGTTATCTACTTGGTTTATTTCTGTTGGAGCAGCAGGAAGGAATCTTCTGGGAAGTTCCCTCTCCCTCAGGTGTGTAGAATTCTGGTGTGGGGATTGGTTGGTTTGGCCACTTTGGCTACTAAAAAGGAGTCCTCCTAGAGGCAGAAGGAGTAATCTCTCACTGCCAGCTGAGAGATATGCTGCTGAAAGAGATATGCTTGCTGAGAGAGGGAAAGAGAGACATGAGAGACACATGCTACTTAGAGAGATGTGAGAGACACATGCTACTGAGAGAGAGACACGAGAGACATGCACTGCTGAGAGAGAGAGAGATGTGTTACTGAGAGAGACTGAGAGAAACTGCTGGCTGCTGAGTGAGACTGCCGGCTGAGAGAGACTGTGCACATTCCTGAACTTGAACTGTAGCCTGTTGCTTCCCTAATAAACCCTATAATCTGTGAGTTCTGTGTGTCCACTGCAGTGAATTGTTGAGCCCAGCAGAGAGGTAGTGAGTGCCATGGGAGGGACAGTTGGTGTCAGGGTAGGTGAAAGGGCTAGAGGAAGGTAGCATGTCTGGCCTCGCAGGAATAGGCCTTGAGCTGCTGTAAGTGAGTCTCTCCTCCTCCTGTGTAGTTAGAGGAGGTCAGAAGATGCCACCTCCTTGCCCTTGTTGTATCCCTGAAACTTTTGCATCAGTTAAATATGTTTGTTTGTACTGAGTCCCAATGTAAATTGACTGTTATTGTGGATTATGGTCAAAAGAGTGTGAGAAAACAGAGGTGGGTGCCACTACCCCATTTTACCCATGAGGAAACTGAGGTTTGGAGGGTGTGATTGTCTGTAGTCAACCAGCTAGGATGGGGCACTGTTGCTTTAAACTCTTAAACCCAGACCAGTTCACTAGCAAACTCATTCGTGTAACCTCTATGTAACCTATGTTGCTGTTGTTGTCAGCTGTGGTCTAGTGGTCACCAACTGATAGCGACGTTATGCATAAAAGAACAAAAGTACATGTTATCTACAGGCTGTATTATTCCCCGAAATGACTGTATTTCTTTGTTTCTTCCTCTTTTCTGTGCTTAATCAAGTGGGTGCATGTTTTATGAGATTATGTTAATCACAGTTATAAAATTATATTAATTAATTTTGATTATATTAAAGGATTTCATAACCATTTTTTTCATGTTGTTACAGTTTTCTGAATTATTATTTTCTTTTTTAATGATTTCCTTAGGTCAACTCCCTGATTGGTATGAGGGTCAAAAAGCATGAGTATGTTTTTGGCTGCTATACAATTTGTCCCACTGTGAAGCTGACATGTTTTTCCCCCTTTCATTTTTCTTCAACTGTGTGTCATGTATATGTTGATCAGTCTCTTTTACTTTATTATAGGCACTATAAGAAGAACACAGAAAGGGCTCCCTCCATTTTTCAATTATTTTTAAATTTCAATGTTGTTGTTGAGAATGTACATAGCAAAACATACACCAATTCACCAGTTTCTACATGTACAGTTCAGTGACACTGATTACTGAATTGGTTACTGACATTGATTACTGAATTACTGATTGCATTGATTAAATTGATTCTTCAAGTTATGCAACAATTCTCACCCTCCTTTTCTAAATTGTTCCTCCCCCATTAACATAAACTCACTGCTCCCTAAGGTCCTTTTGAGTTGCTGTTGTCAATTTGATCTCATTTACATAGGTCTTGAAAAAGCACGATGACTAATTTTCGGAAATAGAGTACCATGCCTTTCTTCCTGGTCTATTTTTGTCTGGAAGCTCCACTGAAACCGTCCACCATGGGTGACCTATACCAGTGGCATAGCCTCCAGCATCACAGCAACACACAAGCCACACAGTATGACAAACTAACAGGCAGGTGGTAGAACTAAACCCTTAGTGCCTTCGTTTTCTGATTTCTATTTAGTTGGGTGTTGCAGGTTACACAGTCTTTTTTTTTTCTTGTCAAAACCCACTATACTCTTTTTTCTAGGTTGTGCTGTGTTAAAGGTCAGCCCAGTGGCTGAAACACCTACTGACTATAATATGGTAAAGAAGACCTGCAAATGTGACTTTGATGAATTTGTCATTTTAGGTAAGATTTGGAAACTCACCTGGTGTGACTGGGTACATCCCACCCACAACTCACACATAACCAAACATACATCACACACAATACCATATTATATCAAATTCACTGAACTGCCACTGAATCAGTTCTGACTCACAGCGACCCCATTGGATCCGAGGGGGTAAATCTTTACAGAAATAGATTGCCTCATCTTCCTTCCGTGGAACAGCTGGTGGGTTTGAATTGCCAATCTTCTGGTTAGCAGTCAAATGCTTAAGGTACTGTGCCACCAGAGCATTGAGAGAGACTCCTCCCAAGATCAGAGTATGCCTTTACTATATAAAAAATACGATGTTCTAGTTGTTTAATATGCCTGATAGCTAATCTTCTCACATCTCATATGAATTGAATGAGAAGGTAGATATTTACTGTGGTCTAGATGTCTGGCCTCTGTGGAATTCCAGAAGACTTTATATTTCTAAATGCCATCTTTGGTCATTATCCGGTGCATTATAGTACCAGATTATAGGAAAACCCAAATAGGCTTATAGAAAACCCAGAAGAATCTGAAGTGTGAATAACTGGTTCTTTTAGTGGGAGATTGATGTCTGATGCAGGGAACTACTGTTGTGTCTTCTTATACTGACTATGATTAAATGAAACAGGCTGAAAAGACCTCTCTACTCTTTATTTTCCTAAAGAACTTGGAGAGTTTGATGATGTCACAGAAACCTGTGGATGTTCCTACAGCTCCTCCAAGAGGTAACTATCTTACACCTATGCCCCCTGGAAAGTCCTCTTCAAGGCCTTGTGAATACAAAGCTGCTGGCATTTTGACCAAGTTCAGCCAGTTCCAACAGCAAAGATTACCGCCTAACAATGACATAGTCCCCATTGAAGTTTTTATGATTTTAGACTATATAAAAGTCTTTTGTGTTCATTCTCATTTAATATCCTCATGGATCTCCTGAGGCTGGGCAGGTTTTATTGTCCCATTTTGTGGATGTAGAAATGAGGCTCAGAAGGATTATGCTCACAAGGACACAGTACCATTAAGTAGCAGAGCTGGGCCTTGAACTCACGTCTTCTAAGTTGATTGCTCTTTTCACCATACCTCCAAATCTTGGTACCTTCAATAAATAAAAGATGTTTTCTTGAGAGTAGAGGCATTGTGTTGAGTAAGCTGCCTAGTAGTCTTTAATATGACATTCTCCTCTGAATTACTGGAGGTGGGAAGGAGCATTGAGAACCTGCCTGAGTGTGCTGCCACTTGTGAATGTAGTTTTCCAGTTTCTACATCTTCTTACATTTCAGTGGTGTTTGTGAGCCAGACTTCAACTCTGCTGAACTAATAGCCAAAGAACTATACCAAGTTTTCCGGAAGTGCTGGATATCATCAGATGTTAATTATCAGCTGGCAAGTTCCTTGAGTGCCACTGGCTCCATAGTGAGTATCAACATAAACTGACCTTGGAAAACAGGTGGGCAGTTCTTCAAAAAGTTAAACATAGAATTACCCTATGAGCCATCAATTCCACTCCTAGGCAATTTACCCAAAATAATTGAAAGCAGGGACTCAATCAGATGTGTGTATACAAATGTCACTACATCTTTATTCACAATAGCCAGAAGTGTCCATCAACAGATTAATGGATAAACTAAATGTGGTATATCTGTACAGTGGTGTGATAGTTGAAGATGTGTCAACTTGGCTGGACTTCACTTGTGAGTGGTGGTTCCCATGATGGATCACATGACTGCGTCCTAAGCGGCCGGTCAGTCTAGGGGGAGTTTCCCCAGGGGTGTGGCCTACCTGTAATACTATCCCAGGAACAAACTGGAAAAA